AGACAGCTCGCTAGGTTGCAGCAGGTGCATGAAAGAACACGTGCCCTGACAGTACGGAGCAAGAGGGAGCCACAGAAAAGGGGCTGGTGGCCAACAGCGAAGGTGGCACTTGGACTTGGAGGGAAAACTGCCTTAAGACATTGGGCTTCCTCCCATTTTACCAAAGCATCAGCTAAGCGAAGCATAGTTTCATCCCCACAGAAAAGCACCATCCCAGTCACTTTAAGGCATCTACTTTGCTGTGTAAAACCTGAAAGTGCAGGTTCATCAGAATTTGAAGCATGACTAAAGTCTACTGAATAGGAGGGGAAAATGCTGGTTTATTCTGCTTTAATGTTGAACTTTTAATAATGTATAGCAATATATTTTGTGGACTTAACTGGAGCATTAAGATAATCACCACAAGGGAAAATAATTCAGAAGTCTGGTAGTTAAGCACACTACCATGAATATTCAAAATATTCTTTACTTGTGTGCTTCATTTATTGCTTTCTTGAAAGTCTTATTTTGGAAGCACATGTGTTGAAACTTTCTTGGAACAATATTATAAAGAGTATAGCTCTAGATACAGAAAGTGCAATAAGTACAGCAGAAGACAAATCTAACTTATCTAATGAGAGCTACAGGAGTTAGGTCCACGTACAGCAGAAGACAAATCTAACTTATCTAATGAGAGCTACAGGAGTTAGGTCCACATGCAGATTTTTATCTAAAAAGAATCAATTGCTCTGTATACCTTAATTACAAAAGTCATGTACCTTGAACTAAATAAGACCTTAATTTATTTTACTTTAATAAATCCTTTGATACTCAAAATGTTTGTGGAAACTTGCCTTTGTTTTGCATGTGACATGTTGGTTTGGTTTAGAAGGAAAAATGCAAATATATTCACCAGTGGAGAGCTGGTTGTACATCAGCTTGTTTGAAATTGAAAGCTGGACTGCTGTAAAAGCGCGAGAGCAGGGTCAGTCAGGAGCTAGGGATTTGGGCTGCTCTGCTCTGCCCTCCCCACCCATTACCTCCTTCAGTAGGTCTGTGCCAAGTGGTAATTCAGAAAGCCATTAATATTTTATATTTTAATACATTTTAATTAAAAACAATATAAAAGACTACAGTGACACAAAACAAGTTATCAAAGTTGATTTTATCAATGGACATTTTTTAAAAAAAAGAGACAATAATACAAGGCCTTGCTGAAATTCTACTTGCAATTTTAAAGTAGAAAAGCGATTTCTAAACATTTTCCAGAAGTATTTTTGCCTCTCGGCAATCTACTACAGTGTCAGAACTAGTACTCGTTACTACGTAAGCCAGCTTAGGTTTTGGTATCTGTGTAACTTCATTAATACAGCACAGGAGTCAGCTCTCAGCTATACAGTATAAATACTTTGATTTTCTTTGAGACTTGCACAATTGATCCTAGTTACTAGACTATCTCATTTTGTGAAATATCAGACTATTGGATGATAGCTTGGGTAATGCAACTTTCTCCCCTTGTACAACACGCGGTCCTGCTTTTGTTCAGTATGGCAGCTAAGGCCGTGATCCCATCCAACCACACACGTGCAAGTAACTTCAAACGTGCTACTCAAGTTTAAGCTGGAGCATCTGCCGAATGGCACCTATCATACAGTGATATTCAACGGACGTAACGGAAAAGGTTGGCTTTATGGAGCAAGCGGTTAGATCTAACTTTAGATCTTTTATGCAGGTTTTCAAATCGTTTCTAAGTCATACTACAGCTGTCCAGGCTTAAGTTCCTAGACAGCCCAAGATGCAAAACGTTAACAAATACATCTGTAATACTCTTCTATGAATATCTAATTTCCTAACCAAAGCTAGTCTTTCACATCATTCCTTTTAGTACAAGCCACTTTACATCAGGCACACATAAGGCTTTGTTTACTGGGCCTTTTGACATGCTAGGCCCAAGAGAAGCGAGGAAAACTATCCAAAAAAGCCTTCAGCAAAATGGTGAAAAGTGGTAGGAGAGGACTAGTGGAAAGAGGGAAAAACAGGACCTGCCCTGAGTTAGCACCTGCTGTTCTAAACAGTTCCTTCAAGCTGCATCACATTGCTGAGGAGTCTGCAGACGTTGCCATAACCAAATCCATGTTAACGGCAATTTGCAAGTTAATTTTCCATGCACGCAGTTACTGCAAAACATGAAAATCTGGATACGTCTTCCAAGTACGAAAGACAAACAGTTATTGAATACAGGAAGCTGAAAACCTAGATCAAGAGAAATCCACATCAGCCTGTGATACACATTCATGTACAGCATCCAAGTGCCAAGTCGTGACATTCTTTACCTGCACCGCAGGCCAGTGTCACAACAAGCTCCCAGTTGTAGACATGGAGCCAGCAGTGCCTGACGTACAGCCCGCAGGCAGAACCCACAGCATCTGAAGAATCTACTCAGCCTTCACATCGCTCAGCCTACAGAACTCGGGTTCTCATTTGAAACTGTACTAGTTTGTATGGCAACAGAGCTGCTGAACACAAAACGGACACATGGTACAAGAGAGGATTACGCCAGCTGTTCCAGGTGAAAGGCTGAAGAGTCAAATGATTCCTCCTCCACACACAGCACATGCCAGCAGTCATCCCTCTCCAGCCCACCATCAGTAGGATACGAGGTGCGAGGGGGACACTATAGAACATCTTTAAAGAGATGCTCACTGGATATCAGCTCAAAATGCAACTTACTCCACAGAATGCAGTTCAAGCTATGTTCTATCTTGCTATAGGTCATTCCCCTTTCTAGGGATTCTGATTTCCCTTACATTGTCTCAGTCTTCGTATAATGATATTGCATAGTCCGTAAGTATATACATGACTAATATCAAGAATGGACAGCAAGCTAGATGCACAGAAGAGCTCAGCAGAAGCAGGGCACACGATGCAGGGTAGGGTTAGATCAACAGACGTACCTTTCTAAAGCTGATTTTTAACTGGAAAACCACAGCATGGTTTGTATCTTCCACGGAACGTTAGCTCTCATGGAAACACAAAAGAAACACAGTGTAGCTAAGATTGAATGCAGGCAGTTTTGTCCGTTTATCCCTGGTCCAATCTGTGGGCTCAGAATATTAAGTGCAATGCACATCCATATCATGTACTCCTTGCTACACAGCAGCCGCTATCTGCAGGCCGAGGCCTTTTGCTTACATTCTACCATTACTCTAGTTTTTTCAGTTTTTCTTAAGTCCTTAGAACACTTAACATTCTCATTTTACACTGAGGGGGGGAGAGGGGAAGAGTTCTCCAAATGGCCAATCTCATTCTCCTCTCTCCAAAATGAGTGTTACCTAGGGTATATATTAGAGAAATTTAAATGAAGAACTCTCCAAATTGTTACATCCTGCAATTTTTTTGTTTTTTAAACAGGTTTGATGATTATTCTTAGCTTACAGCTGCACTTCAGAATAAAGGCCAAATTTAGCTAATTGCCTGCAACCTGATTTCCCACATTCGTACATAGCAGCTTCCCAATTCCAGAGATGTGGGGTAGAGATTGAAAGCCATATGATTAGCTCACCAACTCAGAGAACTTCACAAGCATGTCTATTGGCAGAGGTCTGCTTTGATACCTGATGAGATTACAAGTTTCTTTTCTTATTTAATAGTAATAGACCCATTTCTGTGCTGCAGTCAAGCTGCATCAACAGCTATGTGCCTGCTACAGTCTGATTACCCTTTCAAACCAACGGTAAGAGCCTCTTTGTCTCACAGCTCACATACTGGCTCTAAAGGGCTGGAAGCAAAATCTTCATACAACCTGTTCTTTGGTCAGATAAGCATGTGCTTAGTTTCAAATAGAGCTGGAACACCCAACAGGACATAGCTTCTGCCGAAATCTTTTCAGAGCTTTCTCTTCTGTAGAGGTAGAGTGCTTTGAAAGAAGAATGCAGGTTCTCTCAAGTCCTGAAGAAACTGCTGCCAGAAGACATTTGCTGCTGGCCAAATGTGAAAGCAGACCACAGTTGCCTTGTATCCCATTCAGATCTCCTAGGAGAACTGTATAAATATTTCCTAATTCAGGTCTTAGCACCATACAATTCCTAAACAAAACCCAGTGAACTTTCATACAAGCAGTTTTAGCATGTTGAAGGAACTTTCAGCTCTTTACAACTTCTTTCTTGTACCGACATGTTGATATAGGCATGATGAAGTTTTAGGTCCAGACAGAACATGTTGACTAACAGAGGTAGCTTTTACTTCAAAAAATATCTTGGAAAAATTCATATTTTAACTATTTGTGAAACCGTTGGTCAGAACAGAGGACACTAAACACACCTGGAGTAAAACATGGGTGCAAGTCAAACATTGGACCCATCTCAGCTATCTTAAAAAAATTAAGTTATTAGTTAGCACTTCGGTATAATTTGAAGTGAGAAAATACTAAACAAATCTAGGCTGCCATGTTGTTTGACATCAGTCTTCTCCCTACCTAAAGCAACAGATGTGCTTTTCTTCCTTTCTAAATACACAGTTAAAAGAGTAAATGTTGAGGTCTAGGAAAAGGTTATTCTACCTTGGAGTAGTCTATGCCCAGAAGTTAAGCAGAACAGGATTAAGCTACAACATCCCAAAGATGCTGAATCATCAACATGATCATTTTTTGTTTCCTACTTCTGGCTCTTTGGCAAGTCCAAGAGGAGTAAGACAGTGTAACAAGTTGATCAGCCTGATGTTTCCAATTCCAAAACAGTCACTCCAGCTTTAATTTCCACTGGTATCTAATGGCAAGTCAGTAGTAGAGCATATAAAAGTGCCACTATCCTGCATCACCTAATTGCATATATTAAGCTGCTTAAAACTAATTTAGCAATATATTCAGTCATTTATAACATTTCAAGAAAACCCTCAAAGCACTGTGTTACGAGTTACAAATTCAGCTCTTCTACATTTCCTATACTGTACCTGCAGCAGATGTCTGCAATAAGTGGAAGTTTATATCTGTATCTCCACTTCATTAATGGGAAAGCAATAAGTGGTTTCAAACCAATTCATTAATAAATAACTATTCCTAGACAAGTTTGATGAGCTGACAAAGTTCAAAAGCCAGCAACGTCCACATACAGGAACTAAGTCAAAGGAGCAAATAAAACAGAATTTGCTTTGGGCTCTACAACGGCAATACTGTGAGCATGGATCTTGAAGCAGTTTAGCACTAAAAAAAGGTGCCCTAAGACAGATTCCTCCCATTGTAAATGCACATGTAGAGAAATGCCCAGGCCAAGACTGAGAGGGATTTCTTTTTCTGAAGAACAATCAGTATATTTTCCAGGTGTTTGAAAGCCTCTGCTTTCTTCAGCTCATGATGACTATTAATATTTATCCTGTGGTTCATCTGCATCACTAGCCTCTGTCTCGCTGCTCTGAGAGAGATCTTGTTGGCTCTCTACTCTGTCCAGTTCCAGAAAACTAGTAATGAGCTTGGCAACTGCTTCCACATCACTGTGGAAAAGAAAAAACAATGTAAGAATTAGTGGACCTGTGGTGTTGACAAGACAAGAACAGGCATGCTAATTCTTGAGCATAGCTGCTTGAAGGGCGAGTCAACATAAGGCATAGAGCATGCCACAGTAGAGAAGGACAGCATCCCACTTGTGAAGGCATATCAAGCCAAGCCATTACTTCCACATCAGAACAAATCAATCCTTTTCCCACAGTCCCTGCTGCAAGATTCCTTATTATTGATGCTTAAAATAAATCATGTTAACTGATAAATACACTGAATGTTTGCAAAATAGAATTAATCCCCCCTGCCATTGCACAGCTGAGGTAGTGAAGGTAACTACCACAGATGTGCAGCACTAAAGGGATCTTAGATATCTAAATATGATCAGTCTCCTGATGGGAGATGGTGTTACCCAAATGTCTGCAACTGAAAGCATTAAAGGGTTTAAAAAAGTTAAGCTGAATAACACAAGGTCATATCAGCAAGTATGAAAATGGAGCTGAGTCTCAATAGTCAACAATTACCGACCCATGGGATTAATATTTCCCACCTTACACATTCTAATTAAAAAAAAAAAAGCCCACACTGCACCTTCTACAGCCCAACACAGCACTCTGAGTCAGTGGGTGTGAAAATCCAGTGACAAATCGTAGCACAACCAGGTAACCCTTCCCAAAATATCGCACAGTCTCCTCTTCCACATTCACATCTCGGATCTCATTCAGTAGAGCCACTACTGTAAACAGATGTGGAAAACAAAGTAGTCTATTAGCATTACAGTAAACTCTCAACCCTGCTACTAGTGACTTGCCTGACAGATTCTATGCTCTTGAGTACTATTGCTCTGATCCCATACCACCAGGGGAGTCCTGCAATAGCAAACAATTGCTGAGCTATTCAGGCAAAACAAACAAGGAGAGACTACAGCACATACTAGCCAGCACAGGCCCTAATGAACAAGATGTACTGCCTCCCAGGAACTGGGGACCATTAGTTTATTACTTATGTTTCCCACTTACTTTAATAACAATTTTAACTATTTTTCTGTACAGAGAAGGTAAACAGGTGTGAAGTTTACTGAGATTGAACAAATACTGAAAGATTTAACTGTTCAGAGTCTCTGCTGATCTCTGCATCCCCACATTAATGGTACTTGAAACACATTATCAAATAACCTCTCAGGAAGAGACATGCTCTGCTCCCCAACTTATAAACATACCCTAAAGAAAAGTTCAGAAACATTAAACATCCTTCCCTCCACATCTCTTATCTTCCATTTCCAAAATGAGCTGTTTAAAAAACAATTCAACTTAAGGGCATTCCAAATTTTGTCAGTTTTCTAAGCATATTGAGAGTTGGTTTTAGACTAGCAGGCAGAATAAAAAAAATCTGACATCGAAGAGGATCCTACTTTAGTTTGCAATGGAGCTCCTGTCTCACAGTGACTCAACCAAGTCACATACTATACTTCAACTTCTGTTACTCCAACAGGAAGCTCAAAAGAAATGAGGTACTGCATTAAGCTGAGCCTACTGAATATGCTGTTTTAAATGCATGGGATATATCTGCAAGATGTAACATGCCTGCTTGCATATGATATCAAAAGATTTGCCTGCTACCAAAACCAGATTAGATTATAGAAATCTCAACTCCTGGATCCAAAATTTAAGTTTTTCCACCAGTCCCACCTGCAAAGCAGGCTAGCCAAGAGAAATGTAAACCTGCACATTAACATCCCAAAGGAACGGCTAAGACTATAATAGAACGCAATGTGTAAACCTCGTTACCTTGGATTAAAATAACTAACAAGGTGCATTCAGCACCCTAACCTGAAAAAACATTTAGGTCCCGAGAGGCAGATGATTACATCTGCTGCTTGGGAACAAAACAGATCTGGAAACAGATGTGACTAATTTGAGTACAGAACTCCAGAGCAGCTTATTAAATGGGCATGTATGCATTTCTTCTGTCTGCCCACCACATTTGCTACCACAGATACTGCTTTCTCACCTTGTTCATTGCCTCCTTTTGAGAAGGTCAGTATTTTTTTGTAAAGATTGAATGTTTTTAGGCAGACTGTTCCCTTGTTCTTATCAAATACAGCTTCCTGTAAAATTGAAAAATAAAAATCAAAATTTTCTTAAACACACCACCAGTAGCTATGCTTCAAAATAAAATAAAAATAGTTATATGGGAAAATAATCTTGGTAACACAGAAAAATAAAAACATAGCTATTTTAGAGACATTCCTCTATTATTAAGACTGTGAAAATCACTATCTTGCTCCTGGCTTTGACAGAGACTTTACTATACCTCCTGTGTTACTTCTAGATGGAATTTTCGCTGCCTCTCTTGCCCCATTCTTTATGTAATAAAAACCTGCCTGGAATCAAATTTGAACACTAACCTGGAGCTCCTGTAATTTTCACTTTTGATGCATGCATTTGGCCTACAGTATAACTATAGAGCGAACGTAAGTTCTAGTTACACTTTTCACTAACAGTCACCAACTCCACCAAAATTGCAGTGTTATGCTATATGGGCCAGGTTTACACTAGATTTAAAATATCCCTGACAGTCAATGAAAAGAGGATGTCTCTGTGTGGGTTGCTTATTCTAATAACAACTCAGGTCAGTAAAGTGACAAGCCTATATAACGGGTTATTGTTCTCAGTCCAACTCCCAATAAATCAACACCCACAAGATTATAAAGCAGCTTCACAAGCACCACTCTTTACCCAGCGGAAAACAGCTGAGTAGCCTTGCAGGTTAGAGCTACCCTGTTTAACGGTTGTTCTGTCATTAGCTGGCACAGTAAGTACAAAATCATGTTGCAGCAGCTGAACATGCTATTCTTTCTCCCTCTTTTGTATAAGAAAAGACCACAAAACCATTTAGGGCAAGTCTCCCCTTAAAAAACACTCTTACGTTCAGCTTCACGTTTTTATGCTTGCGTAGTGAAAGAATTATTGCCCTAATTCTAGTCCTAGTATAGCAACCCCAAGGGTTTCCTCAAAACTAAAAGCATAACCTGTCTGTTTGGACCGAGCAAGTGCACGGGGCTGCTGGAATCAGCATCTGCCAACTGTTTCTAAACTAGCACGACCTCATTGCCCGAGTTCAGCATCTTACCTCCCACTGCTCCAGATTCTGTGCTGCCACAAAGAAACACCCAGCCATATAGAAGAGCTTCCATGCCAAGCTGTCTGAATAATGAAAAAAATGCACAAATTTAGGGTTTTTTTTTCCTTCTTTGGTATTCAAACAGTTTTAAAAGCAACATGCTCCCTTTAAAGGCAACAAAAGGAAAAAAGCTTTCTCTGATGCAACATTTTTGCCCTTAATTGTAATGCAAGCTATTTTACGGCTCTCTCCCAGGATAAAAGTACAGAAACTCTTCACATATTTTTCGAAGTCTCCATCTACACGGGGCTCCAAACCATGCAGAATTATAAGCATATGTATTATTGGCAAGGTTGTAACATCACTACGCATCTTTCTCTTCCCTAGAAGCAAAGGCATCTTAAAAGGCATCCACAAAACTCTCAACCTGCTCTCAACCACCAAATATTTGTGCTGCAGAGGAAAAGGGTAAAGGACAATGGACACTCACTGAAGCAAACATATTTCTTCATAAAAGGAAGCAGTCAGCCCTCTTGACAAACAAACATTTGCATTTTATGTCCTGGAAATGTTTACATACAGCAGCCTAAGCAATTTGCTTACTTGGACTTTTACTGAAAGCAGAGTAGAATTGTGCTCAGTATTGTTTCAGAAAACTTCGTTGCAATGTCTTAAGAAAAAAAGGCGATATAGCTGGTGTCTCAAGCAGCTTTAACTGGACTTCGCTCTTAAAATAAAAATACATTGATTATCTTAGTAGTATACTCCTACACACTATTAAGTTTTAAAATTTGATGTTAATAGGATGCAGCAAGAGAACTGCAGGACAGCCTGCAGGATAAATTCCATAGATGGAAGGATACCTGGCATTTGGTACCGTCTGCTCTATTGCAGGGGGGGCAGGAAGCAGCAGTAGCTGTCTGTTCTCTAAAGGTGTTTTTATGAGTAATCTCCGTCAGTGATGATTTAACAGTTTCCAGAGAAACAGAGCACTTCCATCAAAGGCAAGGTAATAATTTCATTATGGTGGCAAACAATCATTATATGTCTTCCCAGGAGAGCTGTGAGGACCAGCTAATCACATTTATAAAACACTGCAAGTACAAAATGCCACAGAGTGCTAAATACCATTATTAAAAATACTCTTGCAAATGGAAAGGGATGATGAGTAAGAAAGAGAGCATTAAAGCACGGTAAGTCATACACAGGCAACAGTTATTATTGAATTTTAATATTCATGCCACAAAGTGCGATGGGTACCTACACTGCTCTCATAAGGCCAGACAGAAGCTGCAGAGAGGAGTCATCAGCATGAAAAACAGAACAGGAAATAAACAATTCTTAAAAAAAATGATAGGCCATTACCTGCACTATAATAAGCAGCAGCCAAACCTATGGAGGCTATTCCTAGGATAAGAGGGGAGAGAATTAGGACAAACAAGCAGCTCAAACCATCTAAAATTCCCTGATGAAAAACATATGACTATTCACAAGTTCATCACTTTTCAGAAAAGGGACAAATGTGATTGCAACATTGATCACTATATGAAAGAGTCAGTTATTTTTCTCTGAACTCAGTATAAAAACCTCCCATCCTGCAAAGACACTGAAAGCACAGGGGCTGAGGTCAGAAATAAAAGCTCGGGGCAGAATTGGGAACAGAACTTTAGAGGGACTCCCAGTCTAACCATTACACCATACTGCCTCTCGAGCACAGTACGACTTTGAGCATGCTAACATAAACACTGCAGCGGCTATTTTTCCCTCTAAGTGCTCCGTGGAGCCAAAAGAAAACTTCTGCAATTAAGTTGTGTCAGAAGCTGCCAGCTCCTTTCTCCCATTGAGGAGGAAGCAGTGGAAGAGTGCCTCATGCTCCAGAGCACCACTGCAACTGCAAAGATCTTGTCTCAACGAGAGTTTGACAAGACAACATCACTGAAAGCAAGGACAACTTTGTAGTGTTACTGCAATGGGATCTACTCAGCTGGAAAGCAGGATATGCCACATTTTCCCCACCAGCTCTCAGTGTGGTCCTAAGAAGCACCACTCCATTTTTTTTTTTTCCGCATATTCAGTAGTGTTTAAACAGATGCTTTTCAGAACATCCTGTATGACTTCCTATTTCATACACACAGTGCCGTTAAGAGTTCACTGTCAACCACATGCAAGATCTAACCCCAGCATTGCTCCACTGCAGATTTTTCCATTTCTGAAGACCTAGATGTTTTTCAATGTAAGTATGCATCCTGTTCAGAAGCTTCACATTTATATTGCTATACGGCACATACACTTTCTTTTCTTGATCTTTCAGGACTCCCTTAAAATTCTGTCCGTGAGGCTCTGAGGTTCTGCAGATGATAGACTGAAAAATTATCAGTGTCACAGTGAAACTACTATGCTGAGGAGGAGACTTCAGACTCATTTGGTGACTATGCTAAAGGAGACGTTAAAAGCATGATGATTCCTCTTCTTGAAAGAAAAATGCCTGAAAGACAGGCATCTCTTGCTGGAGGCTCTTTCAGGAATTTATTCTGTGACCGCCTTCCCTTAAAGCAAGCTCAAATACACTGAGGAATATTATGGTCTTACCAACAAAGAGAGACCAAGATCGGATGCCAGGTGACCTCTTCAGATGAAGATGGGAACTCGTACGGTTTTCAACCAACATGTACATCTTCAGAAGAAACTCCCAACAGCCCAGTCTGACTCATGAAACCTCACTGGACAAAAAAAAAAAAAAAGTAAGAATTTAAAATCCTTGTAGACTCCAACACTCTCCCTTCCTAGCATTTTTTCATGACTGATCAAGTCTTAATCTAGACTATAAAAGATGTCCAGAGTAAGAACACAGTCTTTTTCTTACAAGAGCAGCAATATGCACACTTAAAAAAATTGCAAAGAAAAAATGTCATGTGGAGACTTGCACAATGATAACAGGAACCTGAACTCTTTGAGAAACTTCTCATTTGAGGGTAAAAGTTTCTTCTATCACAACCAGATTCCAGAAGAAAATGTGAAAAACAAGAACCTGGAACAACGTTGTTGCTAATTCATGCAGCACTTCAAACAAATAAAACAGCAAGAGCAATGAAAAGTTCTTTGACAGCATTTCCCCTGCTAACGGCAAAGGCTCTCGTGATGGACCAGCCTGGCAGCTGAAGCAGGACAATGCAGCCTTCTGCAGAAGACACCGGGTCTCTCATCCCTGAGGACAGACCAGCAAGGGTTACAGCCTCAGCCTAGCAGTGCCAGTGTCACATAATGCCGTATATGGCATTCCCGTCTTTCAAGCCAACTCAAGAATAAAACCAGGAGTTTCCAACACCGAGTATGTTTGTCTCTCCCCAACAAGACCATGCCTTCAACCTAGACAGAAAGCAACAGTACAGATTAAAAAGACAGGTACTAATTAAAAACAGTAAAAGCTGGGCAATCCCATGCAGCATTTTCAGCAAGTTTTTACTATTTACAGCATAAAATTGTTTGAATTCTGGCATGATTGTGAGCTCCAGTGCAAAAACCAATCCCACCCTAATACTCTCAGCACAAGCATAAAGACTGATTTGTACAAGACGCAAGAGACATATGAGGACTCAGCTGATCTTTCAGAATTGTCACCAGAGAAAGGACAGGCTGCTTACTGCTTCTCTTGCCCAAATTGGCAGAGATGCGAGATGCATGTTGTTATTATGAAGACCACAATCCAGTAAAAATAAATGGGAAATGAAAGCACTTGCTAAGCATTTTGTGATGCATGATGATGTTAGCAGGGTATAATTGGCCTTAATCAAGGATATCTTCTGTTTTGCTCTTTACTGTTACAACCTTGACACCACTTAAGGTAGGGGGTTTTAAGCAGACTTCCCCAAAAGGAATTTCTAAAAAGGATATCTACTTTTCCGATTGGTGTGATAAAGCTCGGTCTCTGTGAAGCATCCTGGGGACAGCAGGAGCACTAAACAGCTCGTTTACTGTTAAAGACAATGAGCACCAACTCCTTCTATTGGCTTGGTACTTCAATCATGAAATACCGGACTCTGCCCACAGAACCAGTTCCTAGGAGGTTGGCATTAAGCTGCTGTTAGCTGCCCATGGTAACAAGTTTCCAGAAGAATGCCAACATTCAACAGGTTTTTGAATAACTATGAAAAACACTTAGAGAGCAGGCCCAAGCACATCCGTGTTCTTACAGAAGAAAAGTATGTGATTTTTAGTCCTTTAGTCATCTTGCTGTTCTTAGATACTACATGACACTCCCGCAATTCTGCACCAACTGGCTAGTTCAGATACAAAGCTCCAGGGGATTTTTTTTCCCCATTTAATAAAGCAGATTTAGCTAAGTCTTTTCAGTTAAACAGAAAGCACATATGACTTTGATTTTAATCTCTTAGCAACACATCTGAGAGAATCTGAAACCAAAAGAGACAAAACCACTTATGCATAAGACACGCTCCATCTCCTCCGGATGTCAAGCATCCCATTTTAATTTTCAAATGACTCCTGTGAGTTGCTCTCAACGTATCAGGAAATATTTCTGCGCATACAAAGCCTTTTCCTGCCTGCAACCTAAAAAATATCAACAAGGTATCAAATACATGAAGATCAGCTTAGAAACCTGGCCGTATTTCACAAACAACACACCCTACTTAAAACACGATTCACATACCTACCAGTTAGATCCATTAATGCAAACTTCAATATCTCCCCCCCGTATTCATTCAGCAAAGTCCAACCATGCAAATGCCAGTGTCAGCTTAATGCTGGACACTCAAAGTCAACGGCATCATCTCTTGCAGAAGGCAGCTGCTTGCAAGATAGGTGCCTCGGGGAATAAAAAGCACCAAAGCAGCTTCTTAAAGTTATAAAGTGAGTCATAAACATGCCTTTAAGTGAACACAAGTTTTACTACCCCAATTTTACAATTACGGAGAGACAGGTACTTTTGGGCTGCTAATTTTGCTTGAATTTCATAGACTCATAGAATGCTTTGGGATGGAAGGGACCTTTAAAGGTCATCTAGTCCAACTCCCCCAAATTTGTTGGGTTTGACATTAAACTGATCTTCAGCATCAAAATAAAGATTTGTATACTTCCTCCAAGCTCTCCAGCGAGGGTGAGCTAGCAAGAGCTATCCAAACAAGCACCATGAAGACTTCACTACACATATCCATCAAGACAGGACCATACACCGCCCTGAATTTTCCTTACCTCCCAATCCTGCACCTGCCTCCCCCCCAGTGCGACCCATGCACTAACTGGCCTCCCCCTCACCGAGCATCCCGTTAGGGAACGGAACCGCAGCCTGCTGCCAAAACCAAAACAAGCCTCCTTTTTTCTTCCCCCACGTGTGGGTAGCAGAGAGCCTTTAGCTGGGAC